TTCGCAACAACATTGTACCAGCGCCTCATGCGTTCATCAAAGTCTACAGTCGAAGCATCTATAAAAAAAAATTTATTTTTAGCGCCAACGTATGACATTCAAGATCACGGAACAAAGAACATACCATTGACAGCCTTTTCTTCCTTCTTCAGATAACTTTCAAGGCCTTTCAACAACTTTTCAGATTCTTTCTCGAAGCGTCCGAGAACACCGGCAACATCTTCTCCACGAATATGAGTCAAGGCCTCCTCTAGATCGCTGTTGTCCTTCTCAGGATCGGGGAACAATGCTCTCACTGCGCCCTTGCGAACCCGAACTAGTTCCTTCCTGAAAGCCTTGGTGCGGCGTTTGATTAATCCGTCCAGGTCAAGGCGCCACTTTTCCAATCGCGATTCGAGTTCAGCGCGTTTTTTGGCGGTCTTGACTCGGCGGGCTTCAGCCGCTTCTTCGGGAGTAAGATTCGTAGGCTCAGGTTCCTCGACGGTTGTGGGCTCTTCAACTTCGATTTGTTCATCTTCGTCGAATCCCAGCTCGGCGAAGAATTCTTCGAGGTCGTCATCCTCTGGAGCGACTTCAACTTTAGCTTCAGCCTCCACTGGGTCCTCAGAATCGGCTGGTTCCGACTGGAACGTCTCCGCAGCAAGGGAAGATGTGGAGGATGTGGTGGGGGTTTCAGACTCTGCCGAAGTCACCGAGGGTGCGACTGTCTCTTCCAACACGATTTCAATGGTTTCGACCGGGATTGGTGGCTCCTCTGGGACAACAGCTTCTGATATGGACTCGGTAGCAACCGCAACTACAGTGGACGTCGTCGAAATTGTCACAGATTCGACGGAAGATGTACTCGATGTCGTAGTCTCCGGTTCAGCTTCGGAGGAGGCCGTTGTTGTTTCCACGGCGGTCGTAGAGACGGCTGTCCCGGAGGGAGCGGTGGAAGCAGCAACAAAGGTGGAGCTGGCCGTGGTCGAACCGCTCAGCTCGATAACCTTGGCCCAAATCCTGATCACATGGGGATCCACAAACTGTCTCCTAGCCTCTCCAAACTTCTCTAAAGCCAATCCCAGAACTTTTGCGCTCGTCTCTGCTGCATTCAGCACATGGGGTTTGACGGTTTGCCATGCGCGATCGATGTGAGGGAGAACGTGCGTGTAAGCGGCTTGGACGCGAGGTGTGACAGCTATATATATTTTGTGAATGACGAGTAGAGCTCTATTCACGTATATATGAGTCTGGAGAGTGAAAGGAGTCCAATACGGGTCTATGACGCGTGACTGTACGAGCTGCACATAAGGAAGAACGTGACGCGTGTACTGAGGGAAAACGTATGTTTGTAATGAGGGGTGGATATATTTGGTGTAAACTGGAGCGACAACCTTTTCATAGGTAGTCGCCGCGGTTACCTGGGCAGCTTTGGTCGCTCTGGTGATGTAGGGCTGGGCAGCTGCGCGAGTGCGAAGTACTACTGGAGTCACGACGCGTTCTGCAGATTTGAACTGGGCGACGGCTGGAGCAATAGATGGATGTGAAAGAGCCTTTTGTATTGGCGGTAGAACATATGGATCCAGGACATGAGTCCTGTATTGTGAAAGCGAACGGCAAAGGGGACTGGACAAGTGGGTATCTGATGGACATGTCCACAAAGCATAGACTGAAAAAGCTGCAAGCAGATATACAATTAGTCTGTCAACGGTTGAAGAAGACTTGTGGTGTTTTGAAGATTTTGAATGCTTTTTGAGTTTAGATTTTTTGTTGGGAGAAGAGGGAGAAGGGCCAGCCGTCGAAATTGGTTTTGAATTAGACGTGGCTTTGGCGCGAGGGAGAGACTGGGTCGAATTGGTCCTTGAGCCGACCATATGAGGCGCTCCTGGCAAATTCTGCTTCTTGTTCACCACCATCGTCAGGGTTGTAGCATAAAGTTAAGAAATAAAGACGTCTCCATCAACTGACGTGGTAGGCACTGGCTTTGATTTTCACGTGATTCATTCAATTTGGCCAATGGGCGTCTGTTTTTTTTGGCTTTTTCGCGTCAAAGTCCACAATTCCAACACTTTGACGAATACCAGCTATTACGGCTTGGAATGAGACTAGAATCCAGCTTCTCTACACACCTGGAAGCCCGACTCGACCCTTCCTAAGCAGCCCCATCGGCCCCAGGTTGTTTGACCCCAGGTATTTAGAGTGGTCGAGACTGAACACTGGTACGAAACGCGCGTCGTGTACGACTCAAATCATCCGACGTGCAGAGATTAAACATTTGCGTACGCGTTCAATGACGCCTCGCAAGTTGTTTTACGCAGTTGGAAAATCTTTTGATCATCCCCCCTTTGGTAGTGAGCCAATGCAGACTTCGAAATCCGCTGCCTATACCTGATTATAAGCCACCTTCACGTCACTTCCGATGTCCAGTGACCGCTTTCAACTTTTCTCCATTCAGCGGTTGAGTCTCACGCCCGCTTGTACGGTTTGAACGGCGCCCGATTTGAAGAACCGTTTTACTCCGTCTTGGGCTGAGAAGGGTCGCTTTGAAGTTTGAAGGGTGAGTACAGGTGGCGATGTAACAGGCGTTTGAAATAACCTCTCGGTAAGCCCTGCTTTGACACTACTTACTCTGCTCCAGCAAACAATGGTTGGTGACTTCCTATTTCTGGCAAGGTCACGTAGAACCAGCTTTGACCTCAAAATTCGCATTTACCGCCACTCCGTGACGCTCAGCTCAAATCGTTTAACGGCGATGCCGTAGTGACCTCAGATACCCCCGGAGCAGAGGGAAATCCAAGTCCAGAACAGCTCTCCTTTTTTAGACTCGGCCGGCGATGTCAGACTTGAAGGACTTCTGGGAGTCCTTTGGCCAAATAACCTGATTTCTCACTACTCCAAATTCTGAGGGGCTCTCACATCGTCATATGGTCGTGCATGATTGAAATCGGCAACTCAGAATCTGGGTTCTGCACATAGGCATGGTCGGCCGTACCCGCCTATACAGTCGCATAAACACTGTGCTTCTGAAGCATTTGTTATTGTGTCCCGGATCCACGCTTCGATAAGTATGTACACTTTGTTCAATCAATCCTGGTTCCCGCTCAGGAGTTCGATGGTGCGTGCCTATTTAAAGTTGAACATATATACATACATACGGACCCATTCAAAAGGGAGCGGGCAGGCTTAAGGAGTGTTATCTATCGAGCTTATGACGCCGAATACTATCTCATGTTCATCAAAGATGTCGGTGAGCATTGAATTGGTTTTAATGCAAACAAAACACTGCACTTCTGCCACAGGTTCCTTCCGTATCATCTTTTGGTTACTAAATCGTATAGAGTCGACCGGCGTGGATCCAGTGTATACTTGTGTACGTATAATACATATCCATTTATATTTCTTATTTCTTCCGCGAAGCTTTTCAGATCTTTTCTGGAAGTACTTACACCCCGGCATTAAGATTTCCCCTTTGTATTCTGCGACGTAGTGTTAGACTGTTCAACAATTCATCCAGCTCACTGAATAGGTACGTATAGCACTTGCGCCAATCTGTGAATTCCGAACCTTGTGGCCCAGGAGTTCCTGATGAATAGACCACAGTATAGCTTATCCAAAGCTTTTGTAAGAGCTTCTCAGAACGGTCTTGTGCACCATTGCTGAACGCCGCACTTGGGCGGCTATTCTTTCTCTTTTGTTCAATGTTTCTATGTATTACTTGAATAATACTTGCAGTTCCGATCTTTTCTCGTATGAACTGTACAGAGTCACTTTCCAGAAATGGGTCCTCACTACAAAACGGCGGTAAAGTCCACGCTAGTACGCACTTGAAGGCCCGTGGTGTTCGATACTGGTACTCTATACGGTGGGTAACATCCGTTCCCGGCTAACTAGAGCCGTCAGATTCGTTCTTTAAAGAGTTAATACATGTATTGTAACTTGTAGGTGCTCACTACTTTATACGTTATCCTCCAAATGGACTCCTCGGACGGAAATTTTTGACCAAAATCTTTTACATAGAGTATACTTGGTAGTACCTTCTCGCGGACTTGATTTTGTTTCGGACTTGTACATACTTGTACAGCTTGACACGATGATAGCAGATTTTTCAAATGACAACATCGAGATCATACCATGTATGGTTATTTATTCCTTTCCTTGACGATAATTCGCATTGGACTCTGCAAACAATCATACTCTAGTATATGCCTTCCCGAAAGCCGGCGATCCATCGTATACCGTTTTCTGTTACCTTAACTTACTCGACACTGTCAATTGCCAATCAGCTCGTCAGTGGAATATATAGCCCAAGGAATGCTCCCCCACCTTGGCCAAGTTAACCTTAAAAAACAATTACTGACTGCTGACGAGCAAGTGAGATTGACTTTTTTCATTTCGCGTTCTCTTACCAGGCACTAGAGTATAGAAATGTCCAGGGGCTTCCGTTCTTCCGTTCAAGACTCGCTCTAAGAGACAGACAGACAGTAGCGGCAGCGTCGTTTATTGGCCGGTTGCTCCGATGGTTGTGGCTTGAGCCTGTGCTTGAGATGGATGGACGATCCGCTGTAGTCTTGGGATCAATCCGCAAGCAACAGAATTGGTGTTTGATGCGGTCTAGGAGTGGACAGCAGTGGATAGGTGGTCCCATGAACATTTTTAGGCTCAAAGCTAGATCTGTGTGAGGAACTGAGAGATAAGTTCATGAATCACTCGGTCCAGCAGTGCTAGACCACTGACTACCGGACATTTAATCTTTTACATTCTCGGCGGTTTGAGATTGTGCAGAGAATGAAAGGAAAATGCGAGAACAAGAGTTCAAAGCGAGTTATTTCACAGGACTTTCTCCCATACTTTGCTGTTGCTCTAAAGAATACGACTTCAATATTATACCGGAAACTACTACAGATATGTATACTACCCTCGTTCCTTAAAAAGGATATAGAACAAATGAAGAACTGTGGACTCAATGATTCGCTCTCAGAAAAATGTAAGTGAGTGGAAAAAACCATACCGGTTTGCATGGATCCGACCTGCCTGGTTCGAACAGGCGACCTCAAGATTACAAGTTTTCCATTACAGTCTCGCGCTCTTCCAACTGAGCTAAGGTCGGTTACAGCAATAGCGGTTGAATTGGAACATGTACCGAAGTATTGCACTGATTTGGAGCAAAGATGACCAAAATGCTTCTTTACTCCTTTCCTGTGTACAATCATGAATGCTCGTCTACTGAAGCGTAACATATCCACGGACGCGCCGATTGAACCTCCCAAAAGGCCCAAGCTGCGAAAACCATTGGATACACGCTATGAAACCCCACATCCTTCACTTCTCAGCTCTGATTCAGCATTCAAATTGCCCTCTTCTGTCGGTCCTGCAGAGTCTCCATCCAAATTCTCTCCGATTCCTTCAACGAAACGTACTCATCGTAGAACGAGCTCTACAAATCTGAAAGAAAATGCGTCAGTTCTGCAGACTTCAAGTCCGTTTCCCCAACCAAAGCAGCGTTACCGTCGAGTCAAGAAATACGGCAAGGCTTCCAGAAGACGTCCCGTTACACTAGAAAGTCCTTTCAATAGCTGCTCTAGCTCTGCATCATCAGCTTCCAGCCCAGAATCTCTCCCGAATCCTCGCACCTTGTCTGACCTAAGGCTCAATACCAACATTTCTCGTCAAGCTTCGCATTCGACCGTCAGCTCTCCAATTCTCGTTGAATCTCCAATTAGACTTCGTCGGCCCTCGGCTCCTACACCTCCCAGAATCTCCAGCTGGAACTATGTACCCAGCCACACTGTTTCGGCCATCGATCTTCACGCTCCTCCCAGTGATCCTGAATTCCATCTCGATGCCGACCTTCCTCCCGATGCTTTCTATCCCATCGTTCGGCCTTCCCCGAATCACTCTCAGCTCGACTTCAATCGTCCCCCATCTCAGCTTTCCATGTATGACTACAACCGTAGCGTAACCCTGGAAGACGCGATGGACGTAGACAAGGCCGATCCTGATGCATTTTTCTCGGACGTACGTGGCACGTCTACGCCTTTCAAGCATCTTGGCTCTCTTGGCGTCACCGATCGTCGATTTGGGGGGACTATGGACCCCACCGCTTTCACCGGATCCGCTCTGTCTTTGCAGTCCGCCGCTGAGTTTCCAGACACAGATACCGATAGCGACCCAGATGGATGTTCGGATGAAGATATGGAAGCGTCTCGACCATTCCGGCTATTGCAGCAAGCGTGGAAGAACAAGTCCAAGGCTCGCAGCGGGTATGTTACCCCTTCGGAAGACTCTGACGAAGAGATGGGCCCGAGGTCTCCATGGATCAGCGACTCTCTAATCTCCCCTCCAAAAACCGCTGACTGGGCTTTGGTGCCAGGAAATCCCAAACACAGCGCATATAAGCAAGCAGGGAGCGCCGATCCAGATGACGACATGGCCATGGACGAAGAACAGCGTATTCCCGAACAAGTGCTTGAGGGATTGCTCGATAACTTGATGATCGGTAAGTTACCGACTCGCTCTGTTTCGCATAGCCAAAGTTCCAATTGTTATCAGCGCAATCCGATGAAAGTCTCGACTCTTTTATTGACGATCCTGAATCGCAATGCCTTCGTCTCCCGCTTCGAACCCGCTCTCTCGATACTTCGCTTCCGGCTCCCGTTTCTGAGTTCGACCCGGCGGCTCCAGTAACTTCTGGAACTAGGCGAACGAGGTCCGGAACTGTCATCCCTGGGCCCGTTTCCAAGACCTCGGCAGCGGCTCCTATCGCCCCTCCAGCAATTCCTAAGAGGACTAGAAGCGGAACAGTTGTTCCAGGAAGCTTTGGCTCTACCAAATCTGTCCCCGCTGGTGACGGTGACCAAGGCGCGAGCGTTCCAGGTCCGTCGGCTCCCAATCCTCCTTCTCGCTGTGCGTCCAGTTCGTCTAGCCTCACACCGTCCCTGCCTATCGGCAAAGAACGAAGCTCTGCTGGAACCAAATCTATTCCCGCCATGGCTCGACGCGCTCGTAGTGGCAGTATCATGGCCCCTGACCATATGCCTGGAGGATCCTCCGCAAACTTTGTCTCTGCTCCTCGTACCCGAAACCGAAGCGGGAGTATCGTCGCTCATGTCGGAAACACGCTGGCCAGTCTTCCGAGCCAGGCTGCAGGTATAATGAGACGTAGCCGTAGCGGCACTGTCGTTCCAGCGCCACTAGCTCCTGCCTTGGTTGTCGAACGAACTGCTAGTACCGGTGAAGCAAAACAAAGCTCCAAAGATGCGTCGACCCCTCCTCAAGACGAAGATCTTGAAATTACTCTTGCTAATACTACTTGTGACTCTAAATTAGTTTCAACCACCCATGATTCTGCTCCACGCTCACCTTTCCTCGAAGACGACGGAGATGACACGCTTAATTTCCTTGACGGACCTATGGTTTTTTCGAACCCCAAGGACAATTACTCTCCTGCGCACTCCGTAGACCTCGTTACTGACGCTAATACTGTGATCAACGCTCGTTCTTTGAACAGTCTCCGCGCGCGCGCCAAAGCGGCCGCTTCCAAGGCGAAGGGGCTCAGCAAAGCGTTGGCTGGCAAGGGTGGGGCCAGAGGAAAAGGTATGTTGACCGGGCCAGAAGCTGGCGCTGCTGCTCTTGCGCGAGCTAGAGCTAGGGCGGAAGAAAATTTGATAGAAGACGGTTCGCGCGACGGAGAGAACTCGTCGGACGATGAGCTGTTACTGAAGTAACAGTAAAGAATTTCAGTTTCCCGAGATGAGAAATTTCTATTGTTCAGTGGGGTCTTCATTATTTTAATTTCGGCTTTACTTTCGTCGCTAACCGGTAACTATTCTACAGCGTTCATCCTCGACGGCCTCAACCTCAATATTCAACCTTTAGACTACGACGTTCAGTTATCACTAACTCTGTTTCCCTTCGTCATCGTGGGAACGATTTCACACCTATCGCATTTTCTGTTTTATTCTGTTGTACCCCAGAACTTGATTCGCCCACACTTTCTCGTTTCGTTTTCCCAGTTTCGTTCACATGCATGTTCACTTCATCAGCCATCTTTTTTTCTCCACAGCTTCTCGCTTTTTCTGTAAATTATATCTCAGTCGGAATGTGTTTTCTCTCTGTGACAATCACCTTGTTCATTTTCGATATACATAGATCTCCCGCCGCCACCAACGTTTTCCTTATCGATTGTTCGCCTCATTTTTTCAACGCTCCTCGGTTTTCTTAGCTCATGGTCGCTGAGTTTTAATCACCTCGCTTTCGCCCCTGTTGTCCAGATTTCGAATCGATCTTCTCACTTTACCTTTTAGTCTTCGGTATCACATAGATCTACCGTGAACGCTGTCCCCCCAAAACCACATTCTCCAACACGATAACGCCTTCTTCTCTGGATCTATTTTAGATCCAGCCTTCTTCTATACATACAAGCTGTCGCTCTCGAGTCGTTCCTCTATCATTTACATGTGTATTCTTTGGGGTGTGTTTGGATTGTCTTCTTCGATGATCAGAGATAGATATAGCTCTTTCCACTACCACCTCTTCGCATCCGAATCCTCGTAACAAGGTCCTAGTTTTTTTCTTCGCATATATTTGATTGGCTAGCCCTTTTCCTGCAAAGTCCCACTCCTGTATGCGTATAAATGAAATGAAATCCGTACTATAATTTATTCGGAACTTGCATACGTTGTTTTTCCGGTAGCAATTTCTTCGTCTGTCGACCTTGAGGCTGTTCGTTCAGGACTCAGGACCTCTCACAAGACCTTGATGATTGCGAGATGGATGGACAGAAAGGCGCTAGAAGGTTTCCTGAAAGAGGCACCCTATAGGCGTCTGGCAAATGGCACCTCGTGAATTCATATATCAGGAATTTATCGCTAGCGTTCCTCTCCGTCAATTGGTTCAGTCGTCATTCTACGCACTTACCCGGAGCAAAAACATAGGCTATGTAGTAAGTATGTAGCAAGGAACTTGACGCTGCCAAAGCCAAATCATCCTTGAAAGCATCCGTGGCCAATTGAAACAACGGAGATGGCCAGCTCCAATCATAGGAGTTCTTGGACTATTTATCCTCTACGCTTGGAAGAAGGAGTATTTGAAGAGAGAATATAATTCGGAATCTTAAGAACCTGAATACTACGAACAAAGTTTACAGAGTTTAAACAAGATATTTGGATCACCTGGCCGAAATACTGGCTCCGAAGTTTAATCAAGTGGCGTAGCCGTGTAACAAACTGTTCAAAGATCGATAGACGGTGTATGGAGAGGAAGCTGTTTCAGAATATGTTAAAGTAATTCGAATGCGCTTGTCTAGAATTCAAATCTGTAAAAAGCGAACAACCAGTATTTTTCCGAAGATTTATCATGTTCCATGTTCATACATGTTGGCGCCAGGCGCATACACACCTGATTTGAGGTTATTGATTTACCTCTCAAATCCGAATATGGAACTGACGGTCATTCGGAAATGAAATTCGCGATTGAAAGAGATTTTCTCATTTGGGCATGCCTTTGAATACGTTTATGTGCGTGTTTTGGGATGACAAGGGGGTACATGGGGTCCCAGTCGGGACGTGTCCTTTCCTTCGGAGGATGAGGGTGGAAGAGCGGAGACGTCCGGCATTACTCACCGACGAGTATTGAATTTCTTCGGGAGGGTGTGACAAGTGAGTTGGATGAATGATATTTTAATATTTTGACAGGATACTTGCAGTGGCTCTAGCACTTTCCCCTTCACTACTTACTCATGTTACTCGGATTGAAGGTCCAAAGAGCTCCAAAGCTTTCATTTATCAACAACCCAAGTTACAAAAAAAGAAAGGACAGAATCATTGTTGATACATTGGACATATATACCCTTACCGCCGGTTTCAAGTTGTTAGTTACTGTCCGAGTAAGTTCCAAGTACAGTGTAAACCTTACATAGCAATACACATTTGATGGGCTTGGCTGCGCCCACGAACCGTCGGACAAGGAATGACATCGAATATAGTGTTACTTTACTATATAAAGTCAACTTTTTGCTATTACTACTTGGGCCGAAATTTTGAAGTTCGAATGTTACAAGCTGTTGCTCATCTGTCTGCGGTCAATCACGGTCATGTTCTATTGGAGGTC